TTTTGGAAAATAAGTATGAGACAAACAGTTATATTTTTTTTCGAATAAAGAGGCCCTAGTTTTATTTTCTGGGAAAAAAACAAGAGAAAATCGCATTACATTTTGTTTTGTTCACCATGAGAGAGAGACAGAGACACTGACAGAGACACTGACAGAGAGGGAGAGGGAGGGGGAGAGGGAGAGAGAGAGGGAGAGGGAGAGGGAGAGGGAGAGGGAGAGAGAGAGAGAGAGAGAGAGAGAGAGAGAGAGAGAGAGAGAGAGAGAGAGAGAGAGAGAGAGAGAGAGAGAGAGAGAGAGAGAGAGAGAGAGAGAGAGAATGAAAAAGGGACAAAGAGAAAGAGAGAATAAAAGAAAAGATAGAAAAAAAGAATGAAAGACACAGACAAAAAAAAACAACAGAAAACAAGAGAATGGGAGACAAAAAACAAGAAACAGAAAGACTTCACCGAAAGACAACACCAACAACAACACCAACAACAAACACAAACACAAAACTCACACTACAATACCCTTCCCCCTCCCCCACCCCCTACCACCCCCAAAAAAACGTATTCGAAACGACTCCATTTAAGTCCTTCGCTCCGACCATCAGGGACCTCTCACGGCGAGTCCAACTACTCATCGGGGGAAACGGATGTGGCAAGGCAAAGCAGGTGCGCTTAATGCATCGGCTGTTTGTGGTTTGAGGCCGAAATTTTCTGTCTCCCGAGCAACTTTCTTTGGTGCCTCGGTCGGTCGGAGTTTCTGTCTTGGATTATTGTTGTTATGGTTTTCATTGTTGTTGTTTTTGTTGAGATTTTTGTTATTGTTGGTATTGTTTTTCTTCTTATTGTTATTATTATTATTAATATTGTTGTTATTGTTATTGTTATTATTAATATTATTGTTATTGTTATTATTATTATCATTATTATTGTTATTATTATTATCATTATTATTGTTATTATTATTATTATTATTATTATTATTATTATTATTATTATTATTATTATTATTATTATTACCATTACCATTGTTATTATTATTATTATCATTGTCATCATTATCATTATCATCATTATTATTTATATTATGTCATAATTATCATTGTTATTGATATTATTATTATCATTATCTTAATTATCATGATCATCCTAATCCTCCTCCTCATGATTGTTATTGTTTTTGTTATTTTCTGTTTGTTTGTCTATTTATCTATATGTGTAGCTTACACCCCCCCCCCCACACACACACACATACACACACATTACATACATTACATACATTACATACATGCATACATACATACATACATACATACATACATACATATATATATATATATATATATATATATATATATATATATATATATATATATATATATATATATATATATGTAATGTATGTATATATAATATATATATATATATATATATATATATATATATATATATATATATAAATATATATGTAATGTATGTATATATAATATATATATATATATATATATATATATATATATATATATATATACATATATATATATATATATATATATATATATATATAAATATATATGTAATGTATGTATATATATATATATATATATATATATATATATATATATATATATATATATATATATATATATATATATATATATATATATATATATATTTGTGTGTGTGTGTTTTCTTTTCCTCTCTTTTTCCTAGTCCTTCCTAGTCAAAAACGCAAACAGCCGACGCGTGGACAGTCCTTGCAACGCCTCTCGAGTAAAGGGTATTTCCGAGGCCATCGTGACAAGATGGTCTCTGCTTTAGTTTCTTTGGTAAAATGTACAAAAGCCTGTTTATTTTTCACGCCTTAACCCGACAATTTTCAGCCTATTAAGGTCACACGACGAACAAAAGTCGAATCCATAATTCAAACTGCTTCCGTTGCTGCTTCCGCCTGTTCTGTCTTTTGTTTTATTGTGGGAATGAAAATGGCGATAATAAAAGAAACCGAAAAGTGCAGTTTATTGCCATGACATTATGATTTAAAACTAGCGGGTTTTAAAAAAAATATGTGTAGCAATATTCACCTGTTTTCTTTTTTCGTGTCTGCATTTGTATAAGAAGAAAACGGAATTTTGGTTCAAAGAAAACTGAGAATTGTTACATTCACAAAAGTTGTTTCTTCCCTTTCTGTCTTTTGTTTTATTGTAGGGATGAAAATGGAGATATTTAAAGAAAACGAAAAGTCCAGTTTATTAATACGACTTTACAATTTAAAACTTATTGGTTTTCAAAACGAAAAAGATGTGTGTCAATCTTCACCTCGTTTTTTTATTTCTTCTTGTTTGCATTTGTATAAGAAAAAACAGTATTTTGATTCAAAGAAAAGTTTTTCCCTCAAAAAAGTTGTTTTTTTCCTTGTTTTATTGTAAGAATTGCACATAGAATGAAAAGAAAAGAAAATGAAAAGTCCAATTAACATAACATTACTATTTAAAACTCACAGCTTTTGCAAAAATAGACAAAAAAAACTCCCCCTCCCCCCTCCACTGTTT